ATCATACATACACTATGTACAGCCTCTTTGTACAAGTCTCGCGTGAAGTAACTCGAGGAGAGTGACACGGGAAAAAAGCGTCGAATGGATTACTCGAAATAATTTCGTACAAGATGAAACGATTAGGTTACTTAACACTAAAACTACCGAGCTAAATCGCCGTTTCGAAAGTCTATAAAAACTCCGAGAACGCAGCTATGGGAACCTGAATCGATCTACAATTCAGTTTGCGCATTGCTGGACCAATTTCTTGAATAATCAGAGAAACGTCTGTTGTCTTTTGGATAATTGCAAAAAGGAACCAGGAATAGGCCATTTCGACTCGTCTGGTAGTCTTAGTGTTAACACATTGCGTACCGGTAACGAGAAATCTCGTTTTATAAAGACCGCTATGCAACTTCGCTAATTATCGCAGTATTGAAAAGATATAAAATTTCATTCGAGTTGATTATCTATTTAAAATATATTACATAACAATATATCTGAGTTTTTCTATGTGATATAAGTTGACCTCAGTGAAAATTGTCATTCAATTCAGTTTTCTGAAAATTAGCACGCAATGTGTTTCGATGATTTTCCTCGATGGAAACAAGAATTAAAGGCGAATGATCATTTCTTTACGAATATTCCCACGTACCACAGTGTATAAGAAACTTACGGTTCACTCTCACACGCAAACCAGTTTTGTTTTTACACGTCTTTTATACAAGATTCTGTTTTTTTTACAAACGAACGAGGCACCGCGATTAACTCACAGTCTCTTTATCCCGTTGCTTCGTTTTCTCTTTCAGCAACGATTTCAGTGTTCCTTTCGATAAGGAGCGACGGTTGTGTTAGGATGCGCCGTCCTCGGCTTTCTCCTGCACCACCTGACTCGAGTCCTCGCGCCTCACGCAGTCCCTGATCGCTTGCAGTATCACGCGCACTCTCCTGTCGAGCGCCGTTAGATGGGGCTCCCATAAAACCGGCGCCACGGGGTCCTTCGCCATGCTTTTCCGCATCGCGTCGCTCAGGCGTACCGGTCCGTTGTGGAATCTGGAAACGAAACGTCGGGGGAACCGTTACTCGTCGCTTGGAAATCGTTTAGCGAGTGGAAAGAACGTTCGTTGCGTCGTAAACGATTAACCAGTTGACCTTTGATTTCTTTCTGAACTGTGATCGACCCAGCTGCTTTATAATTAACCCTTTGCACTCGGATGTTTGTTACTAGAAATATTTAACATTCCTTTACGAGGCGAAGACGATGTTCTTTGAGACTAATTCGAAGAGAAATCGCGAGTACATTGAGGAACAAAGCTGTTTTATTCCAATGTTTCACGAATCGAGGCATTATACAAAGTTTAACATTAAATATTACGTTCTATAGTTTTACTGTGTCAAATCAAGTGGTGACTGAGAGTCACCTCTCGAGTGTAAAGGGTTAACCCTAATAGGATCATAATGTGACTTTGAGTCGCACTTGAACTTTTTACTTCAATTTTCTGATTTATAAGACCCAATAAGACTGGAATTTTCAAATGAAAATGTTATTTTTGTTTATAGGTTCCAAATTTTAAGAGCCCAAAAAAACTTTTGCAATATGAAATAAAGTTTGTTTTAATCATTCCTTTTATTCTTATAAGTGACTGAGGGTCACATCGTGGTATAAGACGTTATAAAAGCACGTGGTACGATTAGGGTCAATAATTTATTGAGAAAGGAGAAAATTCCAGTCTTATTCTACGTCAACGTAGACTCTAAGATGTAATCATTGATAACAGAGGAATAATATGTAATTTGTATTGAAGCAAACTCAATAATATTTATGTTTGTCAAGTTTGATACGATACTGTAGCGTAAGGGGTAAATTAGCCAGTTGCGCTAGAAATGAATTCAGAGATTCGGCAATTTCGTGATTTGTCTCGCGCGAAGAATATTGTTTTTACCTATTTTACGGAGATATGTACACCAATTCTGTTTATTAATGATTTTTTATGGAATAACAACCTAATACGCGTAATGCAACAAGATTATCAACGTGTAAAAGACATTGACAATTTTGGAACGTGTGTACGTGTTTGCAGCGCAAGAGGTTAAACGTAAGGTGACAGAACAAAAGAAATATTTAACAATAGAACTACGTTCCAATCAAAATAATCGATTATCGAACTGACCTGACAAGTAAATAGTTTCACTCGAATACTATAACGAAAGTCTGAAGAAACTGAAAATAATCTATTGCAATTTTTATAGGGATTACATATTAACCGTATTAAATGACTAACGACAAGCGCAATCGTTTACTCAAACGGTTAATTCAAACGTCCTTGATTAAACATTTGTGTAAAGTTCTCCGACACCGAAAGGAAATGTCAAGTGATTCACATACTTCTTTATTCTTTACTCTCAACCTCTGACGGAGAGCTACAGTCAATAAATCCGCGGTATCATTACCGTTACCAGAACGATCGATCTCACTCGAACCGAAGGTCGCTCCTCTAAACTGCCACGATACTCTCAAACGACTCCGATCGTTCCCCCTCATTTACAAGAACAATCGCAAGAACAATCCGTCGAACGAAAAAGAAGCAAAAGGCACGAGAGCACGAGCTTAACAAAAAAATTCCGCGGCGTCCTCTTTTCTTCCCCTTTTGTGCCTCGCAGGTT